CAGAAACTGAAACACACCAAGGAAGTTCCTGCATGCTTTATCACAAAACTGAGATTCTGTTTCTGGTGTCACTTGGACTGCTGTGTGGACAAATGATTGTGGAATGTCAGTGTTGAGCAGGAAATGAGTTAGGTAGCTGCAGTGGTCCAGATGAGAGATGATAAAATCTGGGAATAGAGTGGTTGAGATGGTGGGTTTGAGATGTGGATAGCAACAGAGAAGAATGGGTTGCCATTAAAATAAGAATGTTACCTTCAGGCAGGAAGGATCTCTTGGAAAACCAAGGATTGACCCCACCAAAAAAATGGCCTTATATTTGATAATGGAAAACTTAAATCAGGCCACCAGTATTCTCCTTAAAGCAAGAGCTAGTTCATTATCAAAATGGCTCCTGAGGAAAAATGGACACATCATCCCAGGAAGGTGCTGAGAAAGACACTAGAAAGCCAATCATAAGCTGAGTGATTTAAGGATATTCCTACATGGAAACAGAGAGTGGGCAGAAAATCTGAAGTTGTCCTAGACATAAAGTATGGTATTTCAGGTGCACACTAGCTAAGTGATTTCTTCTCCTGCTACATTGTCCAATATGGTAGATACTAGCTATAGGTAACCATTTAAAAGTTAAACTTCAAAGTATTAAGTCAAGGTCAAAATAGAGGCACATTTCAAGTGCCTGATTTCCATGTGTGACTGGTACTTGGTTAGTTCAGCTGTAGAGCATTTACACCATCAATGAAAGTTCTACTGCCCATTGTTGCTATAGGAGATTCTCATTTCCTTGGATCAAATATTTCTGGGAATATTGTAGACATTACCTGCTATTGCCAGACCCATCTTGCTACTTCTCTGTTTTGGACCTTCCTATTTAATTATTTGTTGTTTCTTTATAATTGTTTATTTATTTTGGGGTACCATGTTTGCTGTCTGCCTGCTGTCCTTAGACAATCTTTAGTTCTTGGCTTACCCTCAGCTAGGATGTGAAGTCCACATCCCTCCATGTAGGCCCACTCACATGCACCAGCCCCATGAGCTCCAAGGCCACAGATAAGCTCTTGGGCCCATGTGCTCAGCCTGGAAGGCTGGATATTGTGGAAGAGACTATGACAGAAAGCAGAGAGCCTGGATAAAAGGTGAAACCACGCAGTCAGCATTCTGGCTTTTGGGAGAATGCCTGGGTTTCTTGAGTGTGAGGGTTGATGTGCTCTTTTGAAGCAGTGGCCCAGAGGGGAAGAGAAGCACAGAAGAAATGCCATTCCTTGGGCCTTAAAGAAGACAGGGCCTCAAAAGAGAAACAATAAATAAAAGAAAAGGTGCCAGAATTCCATGCTTTCCTTGGGCTTCAGAGTACAAGTTTCATGTATATTTCAATAACCAGTGTGCTGAAGGGTGGAACTGACTTACATGTGCCTGCAAAACAAAAACACAGATGGTAGGGCTAATTTTAGGTCTCTAGGCCTTGGCACTGTCCTTCTATCCAATAAGCACTGTCTGATCTTCTGGGGTCTACACTCAGAGCAGGGCTAAGCTGACCTCACTGACGGGCCAGGGTGTGAGCAGTAGCAGGCATCTTTCTTTCTGAGCCTGGGTTTTCTGAAGGGAACAAAAGGCTGTGCCTGCTCAACTGTAACTCCCCCATTACCCACAGAAAGAGCAGTCGTTTCCTGTAAGGTCATGGTTCCATGAATACTGTTTTCCAACTTGCATTGAATGATCAGAGAAATGGGGCTACTGGCTGATGGAAGCCCCTAGAACCATGCTTTTTGGGTTTGAATATGGTTTTGACATTGGCTTAGTTATGAGTTTGAATGAGTTACTTAACCTCTCTGTGTCCCAGTTTTCTCATCTGTAAAATAGTGCTAATAATGGTAAATTATTACTCAGAGGAAAGAGTAAGTGAGGTGATGCATGTAGTTAGGACAGTGCCTGGCACAAAGCAAGCATTTAATAATTGCTAGCTATTATAATTAACTGAATATTCTGGTTTGAGGCACTCACCATTGATAGTATGACAAGAGACAGCAAGGAGGAGTAGGGAAATGTGTGAGTTCCAGGGGTTGTGTTGGTTTGGAAACTAGCTCCGTGAACTTGAGTGAGTTTGTTAAACTCTCTGTGTTCTTGGAATTTCCAATGATAAAATGAATGTAATAACAGAGACATAATAATAATATATCTTCTCCAGATTATAGTTATGAAGATTAAAGGAGTTAATATGTTATATAATAAACTCAGCAGAATGCCTGGTATGACAGAGTAAGAACTTGATTATAGCTAACTCTTATTAGTAGTAGTAGTAGTAGTAGTACTAGTAATAGTAGTATAGATTCTCAACTTTCAAAAGGAAAGAGAACAATAGCATTCACTGAAGGCTGAAACAAGACTAAGTTTCACTCACTCTTCCCTTGAAGAATCAGATAGAAATGTGGAATCTTACAGGCACCAATTTCATTAATCAGTAAGTATAATAGACCACATACTGTGTATCTAAAACTGCTCATTGTTATAAACATGCAGTGGCATTATGCTGGGGGTTCAGACATGGCTGCCAAGACAAAAGTCAGTATGACCCTGTCTGGTCATCAAGCCAAAGTATTACCAATGCTCTATGTACAACATCTGTAAAAGTTTGCCAGTTTCCCACATTGAAACCAAAGGAAGTTCCTGTCTCAGACCTCTGAGAACATCCCTAGTGTCTTTTCAAGTAGAGTCAAAGCCCAGCCAAGGGGAGAGAATTGAGTTTATCCTTCAGCTTCTCTGTCCAGTCCCCAAAACTTTTCCTGTCGCACAAGTCGATATAAATGGTGGAGCAAGTCCCCGTTGTGGGGTCTTCAAGGATTACTTCAGTCCAACTGTGGAAATTATATTTGAAGAGACAAATGAAATTGCAGGATTTATTATAGGCTTGGGTTCTAGAAAGGCTGACCACTCAGGGGCCACATGGGAGGAATGGGAGGGACTAGGCTCCAGGGAGAGAAGGAGAGAGAGAGGAGAGAAGAGATAGGACAGGGGGAATGACACAGAGAGACAGAGAGAGAAGAGAGAGACAGAGACAGAGACCAGTGGGTAGAGGGCAGGTGTCTTTAGAGGGGGCCAGGAGGAATACACAAACAAAATGCAGGAGGGGATTTTACCAGTAGGTTTGAATGGCACTAGGTCCCAGTTAGGTCAGGGCAAGAAGGAACTTGTGCCAGGGACCAGCCTTATCACACTGGTGCATCTGGTTCCTGGGACAGGTGCTCAGAATCTCCCTGAGGGACCAGGAAAAGAAACATCTGAAAAACTGACAACACAGCTTCCCCTGTTACCCTGCTTTATGGTGAGGATGACAGGATGGAGACAGGGATGACAGGAGATGAAGTGGCTAAGGACAGTGGTGCCCTCAGCCTCCTGTGTCTCTTCTTACTCAGGCCCAATTGATACCCTGGGCACTGTACCCCCAGGAAGTCTCATTGTGACAAATGACAGGTACAGCAGCCCTAAGACAAGAGGCCTTCTCATTCAGAGAGCACGTACAACTCCCTCTCTCTGGCGCCTGGCTCAGGCTGGGGAATCAGTTTAGAAGTCATAGTGCTGTGTTCAAGTAGGGCTACAACACCAGGTGAGAAGAGGGGAAGTCTGAAGACAGGAGCTTTTACACCTCTTCTCTATGGGGTCCTTGTGTACTTTGGGCCACCCTCCCCACGTGCACATCTGGCTTCCTTTTGGTTCCTTCCTTCCTTCCTTCCTTCCTTCCTTCCTTCCTTCCTTCCTCCCTTCCTCCCTTCTTCCTCTGGGAACAGCGCCCCCTGTGGGCAGTCTCTGCATCCCAGCTCTGATGCCTGCCTTTGGAGCTCCACCTAGCCAGGCTGGGCCACTGTTAAGAGCCAGCAATCTGCGCCTTCGTGGTCCCCAGGGCCAGGGACTTTAGCTGACAACAGCTAGCCTGAGCATCCAGGTGTTCACCAGGCTGGAGACCTGTAGATTTCCATCTTCTGCAGGAGCTGGGGAAAATGAAGGAATGCATTAAGAAGTTCACTCCCTGACCTAGAGTGGAAGAGGAAGGCCTTTTCAGAAACAACATTCTTCTCACTCTTTTCCACCTTTGGTTACTTTCAATTTAAGCCAATTAGACAGAAAACGAGCCTGAAAAACCCACAGCAGAAGTTGCCTGAGGTTATTTATTTATTTATTTGCCTTTTTTTCCCTCCCCCTCCCCAAGCCAGCACCTTGTTCTGGAAAGTTGTCTGGTTCAGCATTTCACCAGCTTGGTTAAGTATCTTGTAAGGAAATCATTTATAATAAAGCTAGTATGCTTGGGTTTATCATTTCTAAGTGCGGGTCAGGATTTAGTTCGCTGTGTTAAACTCTCCATGCTGCATGTGATTTGTCAAGCTTTGTCAGGAACAAAAAGTTCCGGGATGTGCAAAGCAGGACTGCTTGGTTTCCATGGAGATACTGCTAGTTAGGCTATGGAAATCCTGAAAAGGCCAGAGGATGAGTGACAATACAAGGATTTAGCGGCTGATCTGAAGAGCCAGACTGAATTAATGAGATTTTTCACAGAGCTTTATTAGCAAGGCTAGCACCGTATGGCTCTTAGGCCCTCATTTTCTCAGCTGCAGTCTCGGAAAACCGAAATGGAAAGATTTAATTGCTGGTTTTTTTTTTTAAACCCTTTAAGGTTGCTTTAACCTATAACATTTTAAAGTTGTAATAAAAAATAGGGTTCTTTTATTTTTCATCACTCAGTTACTGTTATTACTGTTTTTGGTGGCAGTTGCCCTTCATCTGCATGGAGATGGGAAATTCAACAGTACTTATTATATTGAGCAGTTAATTCCCACATACTGTGAACACATTACTGTTCAAAGTAGGTTATCTGGAGTTTCATTTAGAGCCAAGGGGGAGATACCATGTCACTGGCTTTATATCTCCTAGGGCTATATTAATTATTTACTATAGGCTGCTGATGTAAACTGTTAACTCTGGCAGGTCATAGTTTGTACATAGATCTACCCAGTGCTCCAGGTTTCTGGAGTTTGGGTGCAGATTTCTGGAAACTAAAAACTGGTGTGATTTGTGATCTTCGTTCCACATGCCACTGCTGCTGCTCTTGACACCAAAAAGGGAGCTTAGAAAGAACTTTTCTCTACCATCATCAGGTAGGAAATACTTACAAAGTTTGGGAGTCATGCTGTCCATCTGTCTTCTTCCTTCCTCTCCCTTTTCTTTTTTGCAAGGATTGATGCCAGTACTCAGAACTCCTAATTCCCCCTGCCCCTGCTTTATTTCTAGCCATTGTGAAGTAACCAGTCTCCAAGCATAGAAATTATGGGTGTCATTAGCCAGGTTCCCTTTTCATTCTCAACACATTCCTTGTACAAAGTCTCTAAAATGTGACAGCACAGTGCAGAGGCAGCTGCCCACCAAGCACTGTTCTCTCTTGCCAGTTTGCAGAAGGGCACATGCCCATATGTTTCTGGAAGATGCAAAACCATAATGTTGCTGTTGAGTAATCCACAACAAAAACACATGTGGCCTGCATTCCGCGGATTCCTGTACAGTAGACTAATCCACTTAGTCTCACTGTGAGCTTCCCTGGGCGGGAATTTCACAGTCTCTTTTGATTTAGTGGTTTGCAAAATCTCTGATTAAGTGCCTCTGTCCTCCTGTTATTGTTTTTCAATCCTCCAAATGATTTTGTGGGAGAAGAAACCAGAGAAGTTGAAATAGGGGTCAATATGCCCTCATCCGTCCCTGTTTTTTCTTTATTGTTATTATTTTTAAATTTGATGCTCTTTTTCCCCCTTGACCCTACTGTCACGTGACAGTACTTTCTTTTTAAAAATTATCAAGTGTGTCCTTTTACTTTGCCAATTCATCAACTGAGTTGATCCCAAATTTATGTGTGTCACAGATTTATTTCTTACCGATTCCACTCAGCATCTAATAATCTACTGCTCTGTGTCTTTAGAAGTGTGTGGTACAGGTAAAGGTGTGAAGTCAGTCCAAGTTGGCATTGAGACCTGGTTCTGTCATTTGTGCATGGAAAGGTCACTTAACCTCACCGATCTTGATTTCCTCATATGACAGTGAAGATTAAATGCCATAGCATATAGAAATGCCCTATGCCTTTGCATGTAGTAGCTGCTCACAAATTGTAGATACTCACAATATGTCCTCTACTATTAGAATGTGTATTTTATGTAGCAGTGGTTTGTTTGGGGGCATTTTATTAAGCCCTTTGATGTGTGCTTTTGTGGCATCTCTGCTTAGATTTAGCTTCCTGAGGTTAAGAGCCCAGGTTTTCCATTTATTTTGTAATTGCCCATTGTATTGAGTTTATGCTATGGTCTGCCTGATTCTCTGCCTCTTGAAAACGCTATTGTCACAACAACTGCGCCCAGATTCACTTCAATTGTACAAATAAAGCCCACAGTCTCTTATCAGGGGTAGTATAGCAGGTTCAAATTATACTCTGATATTCAGCAGTAGGTAATATAGCAGTTCTTTATTTTTACAATAGAATTACCTGAGGCTCTGAGTGCCCCCCATCTGCTTGGAGGGAAGACCAGTGAGGGCCCCACTGACCTGCTGGGCTCAGAGAGGGGTGAAGCAGGCTTCCTGTGACTGCCTGATCTTTATGTTAACTATGCTGTGCCTCAGTTTCCTCATTAGTAAAATGAGGATATTAGCTCCTCTCTTGTCTATAGTGTAAATATATGGAAACTATACATATAAGTGCTGAGAACAATGCTTGTCACATACCAAGTGTTCAGAATGTGTCAGTTTGTCATAACATACATGCATAGATTTACAAGGTAGGCTCACGATGGCCCCTGCAAAGTCAGGTGTGGAAGAGTGCAAAAGGGCTGTCTATGCGCTGGGGATCCAAAGGATCCAGACAGAAGTCAAAGTCCTTGCCTGGCATGGTTGTGCACACCCATAATCCTTACACTCGGACCTTGAGGCAAGAGGATCCCTATGAGTTTGAGGACTGCCTGGGCTCCACAGTGAGTTCAAGGCCAGCCTGAACTACATAGAAAGACTCTGTCTCAAAAAAAAAAAAAAGTCAAAGGCCTGAAATTCATGTGAGTCTGTATCAGGAGGCCAAAGGGTCTGTGCTCCACGGCTGAAGAGTCTGCACTGGAAGCCAGGAGATGGTTGTCCAAGGCAATGGCGAAGACTGGAGCTCCACCAAATACACAGAAGCAAATCTTCCTTCTCCTTTCCCCTTTTTATCCCATTCTGGTTCAAGCCTATTGGCTGGTGCCACACATACCTAGGGTGGGTCTTTCTCCTTCAGTAAATTCATCATTCAGTCACAACCAGAACTGTATTAAGTGAATCAGTTGGGCATTTCTTATTCAAGTTGACACAACAGTTAACTATCACATGGTCTCTACCCAGCACTTGTCCTGCACCACCTATTGGGTGCCTATGTGTGCTCTGAGCATGTAATAATGTGATCATCTAAACTAGACTCGGAACCTGGTGAGCTCTCACCTGGAGCTGTATCCAAAAATATAGTCCTCAGAGATCCATGGGCCATCTCTACCAGAGGAGTAGCTACCTCCCAGAGTGGAACAGGGACTACACCTTTTCTGCTTATCTAGTTGCCTAGTGTCATGGAACTTCTCCCTTCCCCATTTTCCCCCCTCTCCCTCCTTGGGTCCATGGCTTCCTGGGCAGCTCTGTACTTTCAGGACTAGAGTTTTTAAACAGCCTGTTACTTCTCACCTGGAATAAAAGATGTTCCTCCTGCAGAAAGGAACATTCTCTCATCTCACTACCCTCATAAAGGTGGGTGTGGTGTGAAGTGGCATTGGGGCAAGGCACCATTTGTTCCTTCATGACTGTGTTCAGCCTACGCAGGGACAAGGTCACAGATGATCTCTCTTTCAGACTTCATGTAGACTAAATGGAAGTTTTGGACAGTGTGAATTTGGGACTTCCACCCCTCTGTATTCTAGACCAGCAGTATTGAGGGGCTGGTCTGAAGGAATGATACCTTTTGCCCAGGTTGAGTCACAATATTAGAATATTAAGGGGTTGATGGGTCAGAGCTGAACATCCAGACAAAGCCAATCTACTAAGTTTAAATAAGAAACCATTGGATTCATGGGCATTGGGGAGCCAGTGTGTGAAAGGATTTCAAGAGAAAAGGACAAAAGGAATGAAGGAGGACAGAGGAAGGAAGAAAGGATGGAAAGAAAACACACAGTAGTCTCCTCTTATCTGTGGTTTCATTTTTTGTGGTTAGCCATACTCTGAAAATATTAAATGGAAAATTCCAGGAAAAAAGCAATTCCAAACTCTTAAATAACTTTCACTACAATATTTTTTTGCTTGTTTTATCACTAGTTGTTAATCTCTTAATGATGCCTCACTTATAAATTGAAGTTTATCATATGTTGTATACATAGCAAAAAAATATAGTATATGTAGGGCTTGGTACTTTCCTTAGTTTGAGTATCCATGGAGTGTCATGGAATATAATCCCCATGTATAACTGGTCACAAATCCATCTCTTCCATTCCAAGCTTCATGATACTGAGTAAGTCATTTAAACTCTACAAGATTCACCTCACCTTCAAAAGGAAGATAAGAAAGAAAGAAAGAAAGAAAGAAAGAAAGAAAGAAAGAAAGAAAGAAAGAGTGAGTCATGCTCAAGCTTTTGTTTTCACTTAATCCTCACCCCACAATCCAGTTTTATGACTGTAATTTTACTTCTTCTATCCTTTTTGTTCTCTACTAGACAAGGAACTATATAGAAAACCAATCTTCAGATAAACCTATCAGTGCTAGTTGTGGTTAATAATTTAAAGGGTCTACCTCTCAAAGGAAGGTACATTTTAATAGATAAACTCCATTTCCTAGTTTAAAAAAATAAAATGTTCAGTCCCTGCCAGATTCTGTTATTCATGTGGATTCAGTAGTTAAAGTAGAATTTCCCAAAGTGTGCTACATGCAGGAGTTCCATGGTCAAATAAATTTTTAAACTACAACACCAATTCCTGCTTTTGTTCGTGATAAATAAAAGGGTCTGGATTTACTTTCCTTCCTGAAATAGCAGTAAAACCTAGAAAATATGCAAAACAACAGTTTTTAAGACTGCCCATCATGCCACCAAAGGCAGCAGTTGCTGAGGGATAGGAAACAACAGGGCGTCCTTTGCACACCCCAGCTGTCTGCCTCAGAGAACTCCCAGGCTCCCATGCAGGAAGTAGAAACCCAGGTTAGCAGAGGAGATGGTGCTGGAGGTGTGGGGAGAGCACAATGGCCAGAGTTCCTAGGATAGGACACAGAAGGGAAGCCCTGGAGATCTGCCGAGGTCCGTCATGATTACATAGGAGGCTATAGACCCAGCCACGCATAGAGAAAACTACTCAAGAATAGGAAAAATAACATCTGGAAAAATAAGAGCACAGTGCTTAACACTTGTGCGAAGCTGGGAGTAGTGACTGTTCCCTCCAGTCAGACTGAAAAAACTTTTAATTCATGACATTTGGGTAGAATACTTGGGATGTTGTGCCTCAGTAGTGGGGAATGATAGCTTTAGATAGAGTATGGTTATAGACCTGCCTAATAAATCATAAAAATTATACCTGCATGATCAAGTTGTTTTTAGATAACTGTATCCCAGAACAAAGCTCAAGAATATTTATACAAATACAAAAATATCCAGTGTACAATAAGGTGAAATTCACAATGTCTAGCATCCAAACAAGATTTCCAGGCATTCTAAGAAGAGTAAAATATGACCAGCCATTGCAAAGAGAATAATCAATAAATAAAACCAATCCAGCCAACATTATGTTCTCAAGTTGCATTTATTTACCTATGAATGCCTCAAGTTTATCTTTCTTTATGGCAGCATAGTACTCCATTGTGTAAAACACCACATTTTCCGTCAGACACTACAAGCTAAAATATCACATGGTTTCTCCTATATGAGAAACTATATATATCAGCAAAATAGAAGAGAGATAAATAGGAAGTAGAAAGAAGTTCAAATACTCCCCAAAATTACATATTCTGTTGTTCTAAAAATATTTCAATTTATAGCCTAATTTGTTTCATTTAAATACTACTAGTTTATGATAGTTCACTGATAAATAAAAGGACCTGAATTTACTTTCCTTCCTGAAACAGCAGTAAA